TTATACACAAACAATGAATCATGGAACACTACATCAAAAACTAATGATGTAATGTATGGTAATTAACATTACATGATAATAAAAAAAAAAAAAAGCATGCGTCCAAAGTTACAGTCACAAAGTAGGAAAATGATGCCAAAGAGAAGGTCTGAAATATAAGAAAGATGGGAGAGAAAAACCTGTAAACATGACTAAATGCAAACAAATCTTAGAGGTATGATTTCTACATTAGGAGTTACCAAGAAAAAAAAAAAAAAAGGGACCTAAAGTCCTGAACAACAGCATGTAATCTAGAAAGGAGGTAATAAGAATGGAAATATTCCAAGTTTTTATGCTGTTATTCAGGAGGAAGATATGGCAGACACTATCCTCTGTTCATATGTCTTCCTTCACCCATGCTCTTGCTGTGGCTTCCCTAGGGGTGGCGTATACTCCCCACCTCATGGATTTGGGGCCCTGGCCATATTACATGTTGGACTGACACTGTTCTAAGAGGAGGTTCTAAGAGCATTGCGCTTGTCTGAGTTCTCTTGCTCTCCTACAATGCACCCCCGATAGCGACTGGTCCTAGAATGAGTAGAAACCTAGCACACAACTGAACCCAACCCACAGCCTATAAACAAACCCAGCCAAACCCAGCAGAGACTGCCAAACCTATGAGCTAGAAACAAATGTGTGTCATTTTACACCATTGAAATGTTGCAGTGGTTTGTTACACAGCATTATTATTGCAAACGATGACTAATACAGAGAATAAGGATATTAACTTTAAATGCAAATTAAATTTGTGAGTTTTAGTTTTACTAGAAAACTTTACTCACTAAATTTGTGAACATACACACACACACATACTGATACCATTTACATAAATTTCCAAAATACGTAAAATTAACAATAAGTTGTTTAGGGACATACACACATATACTGTAACTATGCAGAAAAGCAAGAGAATGCTAGACCCTAATGTTGAGGCTGCTGGTTTCCTCAGGACAAGTAGTAGGATAGAGGAAGAGAAGCAGGAAAATGTGATCCAAGAGGGTATTGATAATGTTCTATCACTTAAGTTGAAGGAGCGGATAGTATGGACACCATTATGTAACACACATTACACATAGCTTTTTGTATGAATATAATATTTTGATATTTTAATATGAAAAAGCAAAAAATCTCCCAATAAAATTCATAAGTGAAATGATTATAAATAAAAGGAACACCACATGGGGCTGCTGGGTGGCTCAGTCGGTTAAGTGTCCCAGGGTCCTGGGATTGAGCCCCGATGTCGGGCTCCCTGCTCAGTGGGGAGCCTGCTTCTCCCTCTGCCCCTGCCCTGCTCATTCTCTCTCTCAAATAAATAAATAAATATTTTTTAAGAAACGTAACATAACATGTGTTCTCACCTATATAAAGGAGTTAAATGCATTTGTAATCTTTAAACTATGATTAAGAGGCAGAAAGAGTTGTAGTGACTCATTCATTCTTTAAAAGTAAAAGACAATACCAAGTGAGAGGCAGCTCCACTACAAATTGCAAGAGAGCTTTCATGTGCAAAGACTGATGATTATACATTATCCACGCGTAAAAGCAGCAAAGAATTGTTATCATTTGTGCTGGCTGAACTCTGCTGTCTGATCACGAAAGCTTCTGATCTCATCCTCAGACTTGTACAATCCAAGTTCATTTTTTTTTTTTAAAGATTTTATTTATTTATTTGAGAGAGAGAGAATGAGAGAGACAGAGAGCACATGAGAGGGGGGAGGGTCAGAGGGAGAAGCAGACTCCCTGCCGAGCAGGGAGCCCGATGTGGGACTCGATCCAGGGACTCCAGGATCATGACCTGAGCCGAAGGCAGTTGCTTAACCAACTGAGCCACCCAGGCGCCCCCCCAAGTTCATTTTCTAGTAGAAATTCCTAGATCCTGTTTTGCAACACTGCTATGTGTTGTTGAACTGCCATCCCAAGAAAGAGCTTAAGAAAATTTCCTTCATTGAAGCATTATTTGTAACAGGAAAAAAAAATTATGAACAACTTAAATGTCCAATAGTAAGGGATGGACTAAATGAACTGTTGGCAATTTACATGTAATGGACTCTCATGTATCCATTTTTAAATGTCTCAAGAAAATTTAATGTCGGAGTCAATGAGTGCTCAGCAATGTACTTTATGCAACTTTCTCACAGTCAGCAAGAATTATCAGAAATGATGCCTCAACCAATTTAAATTTATTTCCCAAAGGGTTATAAACAAACACTTAAATGATTAATGTTAGGTTTTTAAATTTAAAACAGATAAATAATATAGAAATTTACTATTCATTCAATAAATATTTACTGAGCAGCTATTATGAGCCAGGCAATGTTCTAGGCTCTGGAGACACAGCCAAGAACAAAACAAAGGTCCTATCCCTGTGAAACTTACATCATTGTAATTCTACTACCTTTTTTCTTAATTCAGATTCATAGTTCATTAGTTCAAATATATATGTCAAGGCACATTCCCAGGTAATGCCTTCTCATTCGGATAAAGAAATAACTTCAGTTAATATTAAACTCATCATTCACTGATGTAGAAAGTGTCCCCACTGTACTTTCCCAATTCTTGGTCATTCTATAAAAAAATGCTCTTTCTGCAATTTATACTCCCTGAAACACAATGCTAAATTTGAACAGCTTTAAATATTTTCCCAGCTCAAGAGAAGTAAAGCAATCTTCCATCATTGCTAGAGAGAAAAGAGGTTTGTTTATCCTATTCACTAAATCAACAACGTACTTCCTGCTAATAAGATCAGAGAATAAGATGGGCGAAATGTGAAATCATTTGATTTCCTCGGTTTGTTTACACGTGTATGTTAATGAAGCATCAGATAAGAATGAGGTCTAATTTCCCCTTCTGCAGGTAGAATTTGAGTTAGGTTTCCACAAGGACTTATCAAATTCTAGTAGCTATACACTGGTAAACAGGTCAACTTCTAGGTATTTAGAAAAACAAACGTCCTGGAGTGCCTGGGTGGCTCAGTCGTTAAGCGTCTGCCTTCAGCTCAGGTCATGATCCCAGGGTCCTGGGATGGAGCCCTCCATTGAGCTCCATGCTCAGGGGAAGCCTGCTTCTCCCTCACCCCCTCCCCCTGCTTGTGTTCCCTCTCCTGCTGCATCTCTCTGTCAAATAAATAAATAAAATCTTTAAAAAAAAAAAAAGAAAGAAAGAAAACAAATGTCCTTTCCGGAACTTCCTTACTTACAGTTACAGAGGCAGAACCTTTCAAAAGCTGCTTGTAATTTGTTCACATGTTGTAGTTGCCTAATGCAGTTGATACATACTATCAGAACTGCACATAATGCCTGAGCTCTACAGATAAAAGCTAAAATGAAGGATACAATATATCTGATTTTCAGAGGCCTGGCATCATTTAAAAAGTCAGCTAAAAATTCCAGACTATCTCTAGTTAGATTCTAAACACAAGAATCCATCCATCTATTCAATAAATACTTAGGTAGACAATATGCAAAAACTTCTCAAGGGGCTTAAGATAAAAAATCAAGACAAACCTGGTCCCAGCCATCTTGCCGCTAACCAAACACATCCAGGACAAAAGTACTGTAAGGGAAATGGGTGTGAAGAGCTTCAGCTCATGCAAAGACCCTGTGCTGAATGAAAATGAGCAAATTTATGAGCCATAAAATGTAAATACATAAAGTTGAAGAGAGGAAAATTCATGTAGTCAATAAAATCTGGAATTCAGTAAATGTGAGCCTTGCAAGAAAATCACTCAACATGTAAGAAGTCCTAGATGCAAGAGGTACAGCTCTGCCATTAACCAGCTCAGGACTTCAGATCAAGTCACTTCATTGCTCTGAGACTCAGTTTCTTCAACTGTAAAATGAGAGCTAAAATTTCCAACCCACCCACCACTCAAGATGGTCAAGGGATTATGCACGAAAAAATGCTTTGGTAAACTAAGTATCTTACGTATACTAGTACTGATTCAGCTTTTTTCAGGTCTTATTTTTTAAAAAAATAAGTTGAAATGATATTTTTTAAGATTTTATTTATTTAGGGGCGCCTGGGTGGCTCAATCAGTTTAAGCATCTGCCTCTGGCTCAGGTCATAATCCCGGAGTCCAGGGATGGAGCCCCACATCGGGATCCCCACTCAGCAGGGAGTCTGCTTCTCCCTCTGCCCCTCCCCCACCATGTGCTAACTCTCTCTCCCCCCCCCCACCCCCATCAAATAAATAAAATCTTTTTTAAAAAACCTAGGCAGGCTCATAACTGCTTCAAAGACTAGACTGCAGTGGAAGTAAAACTGCATTAAGCTTCAAAGCCAAGTCATCAGAGGCAATCTAGCATCTGTCTGGCTCAAGGGCTCTCCACCCCTCTCCCCACTGCACGTGGGTGCAGGACTCTAGCCCTTGGAACACTGCCACTGAGCTGTGAGCACACTTTCTGTCATCAACCAGACATGTGAGCAAACCTTCAAATACTATTAGGCCCAGCCTTCAAGCAGCCCTACTTGAAACCAAATGAAGCTAAGACAAGCACTGCCCAAATTACAGTGTTGTGCAGAAAATAAATGTTGTCCCTGTTTACATCACTGAGTTTTGAGGCAATTTTTTAGGTGCCACAGTAACTAGAACAACTACAGGGCAATAAAAGAGAAACACTACTGCTACGTGCAACAACATAGCTGAATTTCATTGATACTATACAATGATGAATGAAAAAGCCAGATCAGACACAAGACAGAACATACTGTGTGATACTATTTTGACAAGAAAACCAAAAAACGCAAAACTAGTCTATGGTAATAGAAAACTGAGTAATTGTTACCTGAGGCAGGGAAGGAAGGTGGTATGGATGGTGAAGGAGTGCGACAGGGCCTTCTGGGGTGGCAAAAATGTTCTATGTACTGAACAACTGGATATGATTATACACTTCATTACATTTATAAAAATTCTTCATGGCATATATTTAAGATTAGTACACATTATTATATGTATATTATACCTTAACTCAAAAAGGGGGGGGCACCTGGGTGGCTCAGTCAATTAAGTGACTGCCTTCAGCTCAGGTCATGATCCAGGGCCCTGGGATGGAGCCCCACGTTGGACTCTCTGCTCAGCAGGGAGCCTGCTTCTCCCTCTCCCTCTGCCTGCCGCTCTGCCTCCTTGTGCAAGCTCTCTGTCTGTCAAAGAAAGAAAGAAAAAAAGGAAGAAAGAAAATCTTTAAAATAAAAAAAAAAAGGTGGGGTAGGATGGTAATCAAAGAACTGACAAGGTAATAAGGAATTACCAGGCAGAGTCCAAGAGAACAGAGAGGAGCAGGGCATGCTGGGGTTTCTTACCTCCTGGAAATGCTTGCCTAATCAAAAAACTGGAAGGAAGACAAAATGTCAAAGCACAAGATCCACCAAGGGAGCCATCCCCTGCTTTAGAATAAGACCCCAAAAAGCTGAATCCCAGAAGAGATAACACAGAAGTACACTAAACCAGTCCTTGCATAGACTCAAAACAAACAAACAAACAAAAAAACCTCAGTTTGAATAAAGGTAATCCCAAGTGCCTGGCAAAAGCAACTAGAAAAGCCTTTACCTAATCTATAATTACTTCTAGAAATATTTTTTTCAAATAGAATAAACAGTACACAATCAAAGATAAGCAGGCACACAGGGATATAAGACCCCTCGAGAAATAAAAGATCACAGAAAAAAACCTTTGGGATAGCTTACTCTGTTCAAAGAGATATGCACAAAGCTTGAAAATTTTGATAGGGAATTAGAAATTATGAAAGCGGCACAGCAGATTTTCAAAGGAACCAAACTGAAATTCTAGAGTGCAAAATACAATTAACCAAAATTAAGAACCCGGAGAATAACATTTAGAGCAGATTAGACAGAGGTAAAGCCTAACTTAGTAAACTGGAAGACAGACCACAAGAAAATATCCAGAACAGAAAAAAAACAAAAAAGTGGAAAATACAGAAGACAAGTGAAATACATACAGGAGTTGGTGAGCTCTGATCACCATGGAACTGAAGTCTCAGAAAGAGCAAGCAAGAAAATGGGGAAAAAGCAATATTTGAAGAGATGATAGCTGAGAACTATCCAAAACTGATGAAAGACATCCAGACGCAGCATCAAAAGGTATATACCCCAAGCAAAAAAGGGGAGGATTATTTGAAACCCAAAGACAAAAGAAAATCTCAAAAATAGCCTGAGAAACAAATTACCAATAAAAAAGTGATAAACTATAATTGACTTGTCAATAGAAACAAAGCCAAATATTAGAGAATAATCTCTTTTCCAAAGGACTAATATGTATGTATGTATCCCTAGTCTAGAATTCTATACCTAGCAAAATGCATCTTTCAAGAATGCAGGTGGAATAAAAACATTCTCAAACAAAAAGTTTGAAAATTTGTCAATACAATATCTATTTTAAAGAAAATACTAAAGAGTATTCTTCAGGCAGAAGGAAAACTATTTCAGTTGGACGGTCAGTAACACAAGAAGGAACGAAGGAAAAGAAAATGAAGTCTAACTGAATTATAACAGTGTAAAACAACAGAAATACATCTTTGGGGTTTAAAACATATATGCATTTTAAAACATAGTAACAACGAAATAGGTTAAAAAAAGAAGAAAGAAAATTAACTTAAATATTTTTAAATGTTTTAAAATGTTTCACTCTCTGGAAAAAAGAGTGGAAGTCTCAATTAATACTACACTCTGATAAGCTGAGAAAACATATTAGAATTTCTTAGGCAAACACTTAAGGAACAGCAAAGGAATACATAATCCCAAGCTAATAAAAAAGAGGTAAATGAAATAATCATTTTTAAAAAGACAATCCAGGGGCACCTGGGTAGCTCAGTCAGTTAAGCATCTGACTCTTGATTTCGGCTCTGGTCACGATTTCAGAGTCGTGAGATCAAACCCCACATCTGGTTCCACACTGACTGTGGAGCCTGCTTGGGATTCTCTCTGTCCCTCTCCCTCCGCCCCTCCCCCCCACCCCCCCGCACTTGTGCCCCATGCACTCTCCTCTCAACCCGCCCACCAACCTCTAATAGGACAATCCAAAACAAAGCTAAAATGAGAAAAAAGAAACATGAAAAACAGGTAAGACAAATAGATTTTTTTTAATTTTTAAACATTAATGTCAATAGTTATTGTATGCCAATTCATTTTTATAAGTCATAAGCAAAATACACAGATCTAACCAATGCACATATACCTAACTTTTATAAAATTTTAACCACATCTATTCAATTTTTTCCCATTGTGACTGACTTCTCAAAATCTTATTTCACCTTCTCTTTTCTTATCTTACTACAGATATGCTAACAAGCATTAAAATGTCCAAACCAAATAAAAAGAAACAGGAGCAAAAGTCCAGAGAGCCAACTAGCTTATAAATACTGCATTAATTCCATAATAAAATATTAATTTGCCACTACTGATCTATATAAAATTATTGAATTTAACATATTAAGAAACTTAAAAACAATATTCTTTCACTTATTTCATGAAAAACATTACTCTAGTATTTTTTAATTCACTTGTTAATTTAGTGAAAGGAAAATTCCAGGATACAATTACAACTTTTTCTACACACACAAATGTCAGCAAGACACAGGTGCAACATGTACCTCTTTCAGAGAATAACTAAGTATCTATTTAGTGCCAAAACCACATAAGCAAACAAGATATGAAACTCCAGTCACTCCTGATCTTCCTATAAGCAAATGAAACTACCTGCCACTTTTATATAATATATATATATATATATATTTTTTTTTTTTTTTAGGGTGGATTGCTACTACCATTTTGTGAGAAGTAGATATTTTAAGTGAGGTAGCCTAAGCGCTTCCAAAGAAACAATGCTAGCAAAATTAAATCAAAATGCTATATTCATATCATATAGTATCTCTGTAAAGATATCAAAGAATCTTATTTAACATTTAATTCCTGTCTTTCAGATACAGAAACTCACAAGTGAACGGTGCCAGAGTTAAAAAAAAAAAAAAAAAAAAAAAAAACTAGACACCAAATTGTACAGAGAGTCATTTCCAGTCTACTGTGGCGAGAGTCAACTAGACTGACTCCCTTTCCATAATGGCTGTGGAACAAGACTGAGCCCTTCATTCAGATGACTGGAGTATGGTGCCAAGAGCCTTCTCTACACAACGAACCGTGGTTGCTGCCAAGCCGTGTGAGGAACTAACTCATGCACAAGCATCCTTATCTAACCTCCATGACAGACTCTTCAGGCACCGTGTACATGCTCTTCCCTTATCCTCAGAGTGTCTCACCCACTGCCCTCCCCTTTTCATCTACTATCTCCTCCATCCTTCAGCTCTTACAAGTCACTTCCTCAGGAAAGCTTGCCCCGGCACCCCTGAGTCAGGTTAGGTTCCCTAGTCAGAGGTTTTATAGCTCCCTGTACTTTACTTCAAAGGACTGATGCCCCTGTGGTGGAAAACAAGGTACCTCATGTGAGGTCATGAGGTACACAGAAGGCACTCAAGAAATACTTGCTGAATGAACAAATCTGCATTTATGATTCTGCCCCAAAAGAAACAAGCCTTTAAAAAGTAAGTTACTTACATGAAAAATCAAGTTATTTACATGGAAATGGCACAGACTAGTTGAGAATCCAAGTGTTTGCAACTCTCATTCCCATGCTCTGACCCCCATGTACTATAATGAAATGTGGCAGAAGACAGTTTTCTTTCTAGTTAATATTACTTTTTTATTGACTTACACTGTAAAAAGTGAGATACTTTTTAATGAAGAAAAAAAGAGACTCTAAATACAAGTGAATTGCATCTAAATGCAATATGCCTTTCAAAAATCACCCTGAAGGGACAATCTATAACTTTCCGGTAATAAATGGTCAGAATAGTGTTGATAACAATACCATTGCACTAAAACAAAACAAGAATGGTTACAGTGAAATTGCAAACATAAACCAGAAAACGTAATCACCTGCCTCTTTCTCTCTAAGTGAAGTAGCAATTCCCAAACTTTTAATGTTGTGGCAAAGTGTTCCGCCAGCTTCAGACCGCCTTAACATGCCTAGCACATTTTAACCAAAGTAATTTTGTTTTCAATTTGCCACTAACTTTAATTTACTGGTCTCTTTTTCAACCACCTTCACAGGCTACAAAACATAACAGGAACTCTAGACAGATGTGCACATAGTGGCCAAGACTAACCAGTACAACCCTCTGCTTGGCACTGGAGGCCCAGATTGAATGCGCCCTGCCAGGAAGTTGTCTTGGTTCCCCAAAAATGCTAAGGATGACCAGTCAATTAACAGATGGCGGCAAAGCTGACACTTCTACTCACTGGATTGTTTAACCAGTGGCAGTTGTCCTCACTAGGAGGTATTTCATGTCAAAACACTTATAATTGGTAATGGGCTATCCTTTTCAGAAAAAAGTACACCAGGGAGTCTGACAGGCTAGCTCAAAACAGTAAGTAGGCACAAACACCAAGATTCAGGGCCCAAATTCTTAACGTTTGGCAAAAGATGCTTCTTCAAATGCCTTTGTGAGTACTCACTAATTCTTTATATAATCAGCAAAGGAATTTCTGTTAACTCGGGATACCTGTTTTCTTTTAAAAAGTTAATTTATAATTTTATTAGCATATTTTTTTTCTTTTATATGTTGACGTATTTCAATTTTCTATGTAGAATACAATATAGGGTCAATATTCATTTTAAGTAAAAACATAACTATGTTTACAAACTTTATTATCAAAAATGGCAAACTCAGAAATATTTTTAATTTTAGGGTCTGACAGAGTGAGAAAAGCAAATAAACCACTGTTCATTTGATGCTGGCTAGCTTAATTCTTACTAAAGTGACTTCACAAAAGAAAAAAGTACCCTGACTTCCCTCTAATAGAACTTCCCAGGGATTCAACATATGAGGGGATTGGCCACGATGATCTCTAAAGTTCTGTTCAACTTTTCTGAGCTACAGACTTAATTCCATTTATAAATGGATTAATATAGGATTAAAATCGCTTTCTTCCAGCAAGCAAAATATTTTAGATCGTGTACCCACTTTTTCCCCCCATTTGTGTCACATTATTTCCCATGACTGGGTATTGCCCCAATTCAAACATCCTTCCCAGTCCCCTAAG